TTTGGGCCTATAATTTACTTTTAACTTTTGTTCTTTATATTATCCCAAATGGGCATTCCCTCATCTAGCCCTAGGCATGGTTTGATAAGCACATCTATCTACACACAAGTGCCCTTATGAAATCACGCATGCGAAAGGCTAGTGCAGTCAGCCATGTCCTAGTATTCCATACTGCACTCACAGGCTCAAAGACTGTCAACGCCAGAACGGATGTTGGCAGTGTATCATTTGCTTAATCAAAGTCCTTGAAACAAATGAAACTGCTGAAGATCTCTACGGTTCCCCGGTTGTAGCACTGCTGACAGCTCCAATGTACTAAGACGGCATTTGCCTGATTGTTGTTCTAAAGCCGGGGTCAGCAAACTATAGTCTGCATGCCAAATCTGGCTTATCTTAAAAAAACACACCAACTTTTTTGAAATATAGATTTACAGGAAGTTGCAAAGATAACTGAGGCTCTGTGTACTCTTTACCTGGTCATCCCTCTCCTCCCCCCACCCCCCCGCCCCCAGTGGTTATCTTTCACAAAATGTATAAAATCCAAACCGGAAAGTTGACATTGGTACAATATGTATGTATAGTTGTTATTTTCTCACACGTGTAGATGCATGCTAACCAATGTACTGACTAGTCCATCACCACAGATGTTCCTTTATGGTCACATACATAACTTCTCTGCCCCCTCCAGCATTCCCAACCCCCGTGACCACTAAATTATTTCCCTATTATTTTGTCATTTCAAAAATGTTATATAAATGGAATTATGTCCGTGACATTTTCAGACTTTCCACTCAGCATAATGCCTTTGAGATCCATCCAAGTCGTTGCAACTTGTGTCAGTAGTTTGTTCCCATTCATTGCTGAATAGGATTCTTTTGCACGGCTATACCATGGTTAGCCATTCGCCTACTTTGGGACATTTTGGTGGAGTCCAGTTTTGGGCTATTGCAAGTACAGCTGCTATAAACAATGTATACAGGATTTTACATAAGTTTTCACTTCTCTGTGATAAATGTCTAGTAGTGCAAATGCTGGGAAGTACCTGCTTAGTTTTTAAAGAAACTACCCAACTATTTTCCAGGGTGGCTGGGCTATTTTAGATCCCCACCAGCAATATATAAGTGATCCAGTTTCTCTGCATTTGGTATTAATACTATTTATTTCAGCCATTCTGGTAGGGGTGTGATGTGTCTTGTGATTTAAACTTGTATTTCCTGATGGATAGTGATGTTGACCATCTTTTTATAAGGTTCTTTCCCAGCCACGGTCGTCTTCTGTGAAACATCTCATGCGTTTTGTCCATTTTATATTGGGTTTTCTTTTTACTGTTGAGTTTTGAGAGTTCTTTACATATTCTAGATATGTAGTTGGCAAATACTTTCTCTCAGTCTGTAGCTTGTCTTTTTATCTTCTTCATAAGGTCTTTTGCAAAGTTTTAAATTTTGATGAAGTCCAATTTATCAATGTTTTCCTTTATGGATTATAATTTTGGCAAGAATTTGATAAGAATTATCTGCTAACATAGATCATAACAATTTTCCTTTCTTTTTTCTATTTTTTTAAAATAATATTTTATTGATTTTTACAGAGAGGGAGAGGGTTAGAGTTAGAAACATCGATGAGAGAGAAACATCGATCAGCTGCCTCCTGCACACCCCCCACTGGGGATGTGCCCACAACCAAGGTACATGTCCTCGACCGGAATCGAACCTGGGACCCCTCAGTCTGCAGGCCAATGCTCTATCCACTGAGCCAAACTGGTCAGGGCTCTAAAAATTTTTAACTTTACATTAAAATCTATGATCCATTTTAAGTTTTATGTAAGTGTGAGGTTTAGGGAGAGGTTCGTACTTTTGTATCTTCTAGCCCTGTTCCAGCATCATTTGTTGAAAGGGTCACCCTTCCGCCATTGCATTGCTTTTGCACCTTTGTCAGAACCAGTTGATGACATTGGTGGGACTGTTTTTGGGTCTCTGCTCTGTTTTACCCATGTATGTGTCTTCTCCCACCAGTAGCAGGCAGTCTTGATTACTGTGGTCTTGAAATTGGGTAGAATGACTCCTCCCATTTCTTTATTCTTTAAAATAGTTTTAGCCACTTTAGTTCCTTTGCCTTTCCATATAAATTTTAGATTTTCCTTTCTATAACCACAAGAGTTGTTGGTATTTGGTAGAAATTACTGCCAAGTGGTTGAACCAAGCCCAGGCACCTGTGAACTGACACCCCCCCCCCCCCCCCACTAAACCAGTGGCTTTATTTCAGGCAGTGGAGTTGGCCACAAAGTATCCCCCAAAGGGGTAGCTACTAGTTTTTCATGTAAAATTAAAATACTGTTATGGTCAGGCTAGCTGCACTCCCAAATAAACCATTTCTTTGCAAGGCCTGCTGGGTCCATGTTACTTCTCCAACTGCAGTTTATTCACCCTAAAGTGGAGATGTCATACCAAGTGATCCAGAAGGCTTCATGGGCCCAGCATTCAGTTTCAACAAGAGCCTAAGAGCAGGTTAATAACTGTCTTTCTCCAAAAGGGGTGTACGTGGTGGCCGTGGCGGCAGGTGGCGATGTTGTGCTGGGAGATGGCCTGAATACTCAGGTTGCTAAAAGGAGTGATTTCCAATAATTGGAAAACGAGAATGTGACATACCAACAAATTTACTCAATATTGATGTAGCTACACAATATTTTATATGCAACACGTGGGCTTTAATACTATGGAATTTGGCCTTTATACACTAGTTTACATATAAACAAAGTTATTCTTTGCCTATCTGTCCTAACCTGTGAAGTGTTGCACTAACCTCCCAAAGTTTTTTTTTTTCTTTTAAATATATTTTTATTGATTTCAGAGAGGAAGGGAGAGGGGAGAAACATCAATGAGGCGAGAGAATCATTGATTGGCTGCCTCCTGTACGCCCCCCACTGGGGATTGAACCCGCAACCAGGGCATGTGCCTTTGACCTCCCATAGCTTTTTACTATGTAAACAGTTGACTCCTCGAAAAATAAATGATACTGGAAGTTGGAAAGAACTTTCTCCTTTCTCCTTCTGGGATTCTGTATTGTTTCTGCTGGACTACCAGAAATGGGACAAGGAGGCAGGCTAGGGAGTGACTGATGCCCCACCATCAGCTCTCTACATAAGGCAGTCCCTGAATGAGAGGATCCCTGACAATTAACGTGTGCCACGATGTTCTTGGGCACACAGTACATTACACGGAATCACCCAAAAGGCCAGGCCACCAGGGAAGCTCCCCTCCCCACTACTGAAAGTGTCCACATGCTTTTTCCCAGCGGAGTCTAAAATGCGTGCGAGTCAGGAGCTACAGCTGGGTGATAAATGGGTGGCAGATCAACCAAGGGGGTGAGGAGCCCAGGGGTGGGGGAGGGTCCTCTTTCTCCTTCAGCCCTTTGCTCTGGGGTCAGTGTCTGCAAACTGGCACAGCTACCTCTCCCACGGCAGGAGTGAGGCTGTCAGCATCCAGAGCCAGGGCCCACGGCCTTCTCTCGGCTCCTGCACACCCGCAGTTTTTGTCATCTGGTGTCGCTCCTGCACTGAGCACTATCCTCACTGCTGGGAGGGGGCCTGACTTGCACCGTTAGGCAAGGCTTTGCATTCCCTTTTGCATTTGGATAGTGTTGCAGCCCAACCAAATGAACTTCTAATGTTTTTGGTCCACTGAAAACTCTCAAGCAGCAAGCTTCCTATTGCTGATAACATTTTACATTTGGCGATCCGCCGACTCAGCAGGTGCATCACATTACCTTTCAGGCAGGCTCCAGGAACTGCCGACTCCTCGTCAGGAACACATTCCTTCGTCTGCTCGCCTGCAGGAGTGAGCAGCAACCAAAGCACCACTGACAGCTCGTTTCAATCCTACATCTGATCCCTCAGCCTGTCAACATCAGTTCAACTCCTGTTCAGTAACAGAAAGGACAACGCTTAATCTGCCCCACCCCTAATCTATCCCTTGGGTGAGAGCGTTCACTACCACACAGATTTAATGGAATTTTATATTCCCAAACTAGGCCCAGTTTCTCTTGCAGAAAATCACGTCTGTCAGCATTCTAACCTTGTCAAACTGTGGGGTCTGAGGCCTCCTTTTACCCTGCTCACAAACCAGCAAGTCAGCCTGGCACAGTTCCATGGCTGCTGACAGGATAAGGATATCCGGGGTCGGAGGTAACGCCCTTACAGCACAGCATGCGAACGAACATAAGCACATTTGTGTCAGCTCCCTTGACCCCAGTTCCACAGGAGCAACATCGCAGGCCCGGGCGAACGCAGCTACAGGCTCCATTTATTTAAGCTGCAGCGGGTGTGCTGCAGCCGAGGAGCCAGGGTCAGGACAGCGATGCCCGAAAGCAAGCCTGCTGCTAAGGTCTCCAGCTGCATAACTGGCCCAGGCAACTTTGTTAGGCACACCCAAACAAGGTGTGTGCCAGGACAGGACTGTTTTGTCCAGTGATGATCCTTTTCTATACTGTGCTTTGTTTGCTCTTTCATAAATCTTCCTCTCAGCCAGTCGGTCAGCTGGTGCCTTGTGAAGGCTGGTCTCAGCCAGTCTGTAAACTGGTCCCTTGTGCAAATAGCTGGTTAAAAGGTAACATATAACCTGCTCACAAATGTTTCATTTTAAAGACTGAGAAGAATAATTCCTTCAAGTTTGGCCACCACTCAGTTTGTTAGCCATCTGTCAGTCCTAAGTGGGACAGAGAGCAAAAGCAAGCTTTTCTGGTCCATCTTTCTTTAAGAAGTATGACTACCGCAGTTCCTAAAATAAGGACAGTCATGTCATAGTCTAGAAAAGTCCACTTATATCTTTCTAGAAAGAAATCTACTCTTCTGAGATATAAAATGCTCACTGTAAAAAATATTAGGCACTGATTGATTACATGTAAGAGTCAAACTAGTCCCATCATATTTGAAGGAATTTAACTGGAAAATCAGCTTCCTAACTTGGTTAAAACAGAGTCTATAATGTAATGAGACCAAAGTGAAGTAGTTTAAGTAATAAATGTTTAATCAAAGAATTTTACATATTATTAACAGCATTCATTTGGCCAAACATCTACATGGTTGTAGAATCCTATTGTATATAAAGGGGGAATGTATCAAGTATAGACTATGAAAGTGCAAATAACAAGTCAAGGTTAGAGTAATTTTTTTTACATTATAAAATTAATGTGTTTACAAAATAGGCTTTGCCAAACTTTATTTCTGAACTGTAAAGTCAATGACTGTGTTGTTTTTAAAATATGTACCAAGGAAGTACAAATTGGATAATGATCTTTCCTCATGCTCAGGAGAGAACAGCACAGGAACAAGGGCTACTTACTACACCAGGTGCCAGGCACCGGCCTCACTAGGAACATGTACTCCACAGCCTTCACGCAGCACTTCCACACTTTGCAAGACACCGCTATATGATACAAAGACTCTTTCTTTTGAAAAAATTACAACTTGGTCTAAAAACTGATTGGTGTTGATATTTTTAATCCAAAATAAACTTGTAAAAAAATTTTTTAATGGACTATTTCAGTTTAATAGACAGTAATACACTGTAGGAAAAAGTTAATATTTACCTCAACAAATTAATAAGGGTGGATATCAATGTTTCTGATAATTGGGGAAATAAAAAATAATGTGGACTTATGACACCCAAAGCATAAGAACAATTCCTACATAGTTTCTTTTTAATCCCAGGAGAACCTGAGGAATATTAAATAATATAATGTCCTAGGTCTCATGAATTCCAAATATAAGAATATTTCAAAAATAGGGTTTGGAAAATAAAAAGTAATAAAAAACCATAATTACAACTCATGTGAATATCAATACTAATACAACCTTTCACCCAGTCCAGGACTTGCCTGTACAAACTCAGTACTGAAATTTTGGTATCTGTAGACTTCTGGTAAAAATCTGGCAAAACATTAAATGGGGTGTTGCCTATCTACTTTGCTTATGTTATGCTAGTTTGGGTTATATGTAAGTAAAAGAGCCAGTCCAACAGTTTACTCTAGTTTTAATTACACACTGTACCACTGAATCTTAATTACAACTAAGACCAGTATTTTCTTCACAGGAAGACACTGATAACCAGGAAGTTGATTTTTTCAACACTAAACAGTAGTCACACAGCAAATGAGTATTGTGCAACAGAACAAACACGTCAGCATTTGCTATTGAGGCAAACAAACGGACTGAACATTTATTTAGTTGTTATATTGACTGGAAAGGCAAGGCCATGGGTGGTTTATGGAGGTCTCTGCAGTTCATAGCATAGTTACTTCAGAAGAGACACTGAGATCTGAATGACTCACGTATTTAACTGGCAACTACCCACTGAGGTTGGCAAAGGCACGGTAACGTGTGGCGCAGGGTGTCGTGCTGGATTTTTAATAATTGTCGGATTTACCGTAACTCATAAAAACTCCACTTTTTTCTATTTTATAAAACACCATTAAAAGTAATTGCACCCATTAGTAATTAGAATGCACTGTAAAATTGTGAAAACAAAGAACTATGATTGCACTTTCAATAAAGTGTCTCTTAAAATACAGCACCGCTGTTGCTAATCAACTGTATTTTAATATTAAAATAAACTGTTTTTAACAGCAGCATTAGGTTTAGTTAACTTAAGCTACAGGTTACATTTATTTAAATGCAGTCTCCATGGCAACAAAAGCCTATTAAAGCCTGGCATTTCATGGCTACCAAGTGGCACCTTTTACTCCCGAGAATGCTGACACTGCCCTGGAGCCACACCTGAACGCCTTCTCAGTGCACGAGTCAGAGTTTGGCACAAGTGGACTGTAAGACATGAAAAGAAATTTTTGACTCATGTGAAAATGAAAATTAATTACATTGTGGGAGATGCAGCACTAAAGAGAAGCTTTGGACACTTCGATTCACACTGCTCAGACCAAGAGGCAGGAAGAAAGTTATGGAAGAGCACAAAGAGATCGAGGAACTCAGTGTTACCAGATCTGTCCAAAAGAACTTCTAAAATGAAGAAAATCTTTTTTTTTTTTCTTTTTAAAGAGAAAAACCACCCAAGGATGAGGGCGTAAGCCTTTAATTTAAATGTTCCATTTTAAGTATTGCTGACCTTAGGCTAAACAGAGGACTGCATTTTCTTAGAGTGTGGAATCTAACCTACTTACTCCATTTGTTTTTCTTTCTCTCCTGCTCTTCTTTTTGTCAGCAAAAAGGGGAAAGCTATCCAATTAAATACCAAAGAAGTTTCCTGTGAGGTTAAACTCCGAAACGAAGCCACCATTCAAGGGAACTCCTCGTATTCAACCCTAATGTCAGTGGTTTAGAGTTGAGTTGGAATTAAGTGGATCCAGTTTCCATGAAGCACACTCCACCAGCATGCCACCTGTACCGCGAAGCGCTTGGAGCCAGAGGAGTGCAGCTCACACTAAGTGTCCTTGTTCCAGCCAGTCACTTGAGGTTTGAGGTGTTTGACTTGAGACATCTGAACCAGCTCCCTTGCTGGCTGCCTCAGTACCACTTTCGCCAGCTTGAGGCGCTGCTTCCCCAGCCAGAATATTCTCTTCCAAAGAGTTTTCTTCTTCTCTTTGGGTTCCTCTACCTTCACTGACCACAGCATCTTCAAACACTGAGTCTTCTTCTGGCGGCACCAGTTCTACATCTTTCACGCCTTCTGACCCATCTCCAACACAGGGGCGCTGGGAATCTGCACTGATTTCTGTAGTTGCTGGAGGAATCAGGACAATACTCTGAGGGTTCATGTCGTGAAACCAAGCCATGATATTGCCCAGAAGATTGTCACTGATGTTGGCGTCCTGGCCAGCTGAGTCAGGGTCACTGGATGAGGGATAGAATTCATTTCTTGCCTCACTGAGAGGGTGTGAACTCAGGGTGTCACTTGAAAATGTGTCACTTTCAGCTCCTAGTCTCAAGAGGCTGTCGCCAAATTCCAATAGCTCGGAGCTGCTCAACGCAGCTGCAGGACTATCTGTGTTCCTGGGGCCGGAGTCCAGCCTGGAAGGTAGAGAAGTGCCTATTGCTCCTAAGGAAGCATCGCCACTGAGGAAGTCTCTGTTTCCTTCATCGATGGCCAGCCCCGATTCTTGCAATGATAACTGTATTGCGAGAAGTATATTAGGATCATCTTCATCCAAGGAACTCAGAGCCTGAGGGCAACAGAAAGTAAAATCACTTAAAATTTAAAAGAAAAAATGATTTAACCCAATGAGGTTTACCATTGTGTTTTTACCTAACAGATAATTAATATTACCTCTATTTATACAGAAGAATTATCTTATCTACTCAAATCTTATTTTAGTTTCCATGTTATAGGGGGAAAATTCCTGAAGCTAAATCTCTTTTCCTGTAGCACACCCCTGAAACAATTTTGAATGTAAGGAAGAAAAAGGAAAGCAATAAAAGTGAAATCAGAAAACCAGGCCACACAGAGCAAGAGCAGAAGCAGGGGCCAGGAGGCCGCCCAGGAAGCTACCTGAAGAGAGTCTTGGTTCTCAGAGCGACTGGCAGGGGTGTAGTCACGCAAGGAAGAGCTGTGCAGCACACTCATGGACGCAGAGCTGACCACGGAGGTGCCTGGTCTGCGGCTACTGCCGCCTTCTGGGAGATCTGTTTCAGAGCAAGTGGTACCAGAGACAGTTCAGCCATACAGATTTCATACATCTTCTTAGTTAAATGGCAATTCCTCTTTCAGTGCAGGTGAAAACCTGTGTTCACACATTCACTTAATCTTCCAGAGACTTCTTATGCATATCTGTCTCACCAGATGCAACAATATCTATCTCATACCATTTGCTTCAAATCCATGATTATTCTTTGCATTTGTGCTTGCACTAAAAATGGTTCTATTCAGAAAGGCCAATGCTACTCCTCTTTGCTTTCTTAAGCAATAATAAATAAAGGTGTTTTAGTTTTCAGAGTTATTTTTTAAATAAAAAGAATTTGGGAACCACAATGCCTGAAGAACAAATCTTCAGACCTGTTGATCCTCATTTACTAAAGATGCTCTGCTGATATTATAAAGACTTTCAATTATAACTTAACATTTAAAAGTTGATAATTAAGATAATTTACTCCTAATACCAGACATTTTCTTTTAAAGAATGATTATAGGAAAAGTGAGGCTAAAAGAAAAACATTCCATGAACACAGCCAACAGTAACCAATAGGTACAATTCATGAATGCTCACTAGGTACTTCTCATGCCTAAGGATTTTACAGGCATTAGCTCATTAAAAGTTCACAATTGCCCCCTAGTGGCACTCTCAGTATTGCTTCTTTAGAATGAGGAGACTGCTGCTTGGAGAGGTTCAGTGACTTAACTGAAGTGTCTCCCTGATAGGCAGTGAGATGCGGTCATGAACCCAGGTCTTTCTGACTCAGAAGCCTGCGTTCTTAACCCCCATAGTTTTCTGTACCCTGTGACCTTAGAAGCAGCTACCTATAGATTGTGTATCTAAATTACGAATTCTTTCACAATCACCTACTCAGTTTTAAAAATAAACTCAAGAGAGCTAAGAGATTAAGACATACCCAACCCAAGAACTTACCTAAAGTGCTTTCACTGGGCTCATCAGGGTCTGGAGGGTTACTGAGCAGACTGTGCACGTCTCCTCGCCGGCGCTGCTGTCTGTGCCTCCTCCGATACTGAAATTCAGCATATTCCTGCATAAACCAAAGGTTATAAAATACAGGAGAGCATGCAGCTTTTTTAATGCAAAGTAAACAAACAGCACACTTTTTCCCCCAGAGGAAAAAATGTGTGATTTTATATACATATTATAAAATCACGTGGCTTTAGAAAAAGAAACTTCAGGTTTTGCCATGCCAAGGAAACAGAAAGGGAAAAATAAAAATTTTAAGTAGTCATTACAATCGCCTGGGTAAATTGGGAGTACCTGCAAGCTCCAAAGCCAGATCGCAACTGAGCCTTATTTCATTTGCCTGGGTCTTATTATTTAATATTATAGCTAATCCTGTAATGATTTTACTAATGTAAGTTAGGCTCTCCCTGGAAGTTTGGTTCTAAAAAAGTAAGTGATACATTCAACAGAAAGAAAGGAAAAGCACACACTGTTAAATCCTTGTCAGATCGTTAGATCTTGTCTTTTTGGGGACTGTGACATATCACACTCACAAGACAAATGACCAGCTTAAGAGAGATATGGCGTTAGCTTGAAAATGAGATGGTGCTGGGCTTCCTATCGGCATCAGCTGACATGTGGGGTTACCTCCCACACAGGCAAGTGCAGTGTTTTCTATTTACTGTATGGGAAGAACACAATCCAGGCAGATGTCCCTGAGTTTATTTTCCAGATTTTAGTGACACAAGAGATGAGAAGAAAGGTCAGTATGTATGACACCAACATGAGAAGGCTAATTTTGAGGGTAATTATAGATTTTTTTCAGTGATAAACACTAAGATACTCAGGTTTATGGTTATCCAGGTGACCCTTGAGGACTCACTATGCTTATATTGTGAAAGTACTGATCAGGTTTTATATTACAAATGAAACTATCACATCATACCACTCTGGTTAAATTTGTTTGAAGTCCTTCACCTGTATAATCCAATAAGAGGTGGTAGCAATCTTGCTAGGTTAGGAACAAAAGCATAAACGATACAGGTGCCTGGAAGGATTATTAAGGTTCTCTAAAATGTCCTACTGAGCTGGGATATCAGGTCCTCTTTGCCTGGAGGCCTAGGATCCCAAAATGGATGCCTGTTACGTGTTAATATGGTCCACTGAGGCCCATCACATTTCTTAGACAAAGATGACATGAAACTCTTATCTCAGTTCAAGACTTATACTTAGGGAGAATTTGTTTACTTTGTATACTTGATAATGGCACAAAATTAATCTGAATTAAATAATCTATTATTGACCACAGAATATACATATTTCCAATTAAAGAAAATGTAAGTTTAAAAACTATAAAAGAAATTTGTTATATAATTTTTCTTTCTTTTTAAAAATTAAATCTTTATTGTTCAGATTATTACAGTTGTTCCTCTTTAACCCCCCCTAGGCAAGCCTTCTTGCGGTTAT